AATGAAAAATTAGGTGCAAGTCCAATATAATATAATATATACAGGGCTTTATGTTGAAAACTACAAAATGTTAATGAAAGAAATCAAAGAAAATCTTTAAAAAATTGAGAAACACAGTGTTCATGGATTAGAAAGTAAAATGTAGCAAAGATGTCAATTCTCAAATGGATATAGAAGTTTCCCCAATGCTTTTTCAATAAAAACCCTAGCAACATTTTTTTGCAGATATAGGCAAAGATTATTATAAAATGTACATAGAGGGGTCCCTGGGTGGCTCAGTCGTTAAGCGTCTGCCTTCAGCTCAGGTCATGATCCCAGGGTCCTGGGATCGAGCCCCGCGTCAGGCTCCTTCCTCAGCAGGAAGCCTGCTTCTCCCTCTCCCTCTGCTGCTCCCCCTGCTTGTGTTCTTTGTCAAATAAATAAATAAAATCTTAAAAACAAAATAAAATAAAATGTACACAGAGAGGCACAGACCCTTGAACAGGTGAAATAATCTCCAAAAACAGGAATGTGGGCTGAAACGACCTACCTACTCTCAAGACTTGTTAGATACTTACAGTAATCAAGACTGTGTGGTACTGGTGGAAGGATAGACACACAGATCGAGGAAATAGAACAGAACACTCAGAAGTAGATCCACACAGGTATCCAACTGATGTCCAACGGATTTTGACAAAGGTATACAAGCAATCCAGTGGGGGAGGTATAATGGTGCTGGACTAACTGGACATCTATAGCCCAAAAAAGAACCTTGACCCAAGTCTCTCATCGTATACAGAAAATTAACTCAGAATGGATCACAGACTTAAATGTAGAAAGTAAAACTATTAAACTTTTAGAAAAAACTATGAGAGAAAATCATCAGGAGACAAAATCCTAGCCATGCGGGATTCTTAGATTTGACTTTAAAAGCATAATTTATAGGGGCGCCTGGGCAGTGCAGTCGGTTAAGCGCCTGACTCTTGGTTTCAACTCAGGTGGTGATCTCATGGGTAGTGAGATGGAGCCCGCACTGGGATCCGTGCTCAGCCCGGAGTCTGCTTGAGTTTCTCTCTCTCTCCCTCTGCTCCTCCCCACAAAGTTCTCTCTCTGAAGTAAAAATAAATAAATCCACCCAAATTCTGCTCTATGAAAGACATTGTTAAAAGGATGAAACATCAAACTATAGACTAAAAGAAACTATTTATAAAACACATATGAGGGGCGCCTGGGTGGCTCAGTCATTAAGAGTCTGCCTTTGGCTCAGGTCGTGATCCCAGGGTCCTGGGATGGAGCCCCGCATCGGGCTCCCTGCTCAGCGGGAAGCCTGCTTCTCCCTCTCCTGCTCCCCCTGCTTGTGTTCCCTCTCTGTGTCTCTCTCTGTCAAATAAATAAAATCTTAAAAAAAAACAAAAAACAAAAAACCACGTATGAGACAAAGGACTAGTATCTAGAAGATAAAAAGAACTCTCAAAATTCAACAGTAAAAAAAACAAACAATACAATTAGAAAAGGACTACACAGCAAAGGAGATCATCAACAAAATGAAAAGGCAATTTATGGGATGGGAGAAAATATTTCCAAATCCTATATCTGAAAAGGGATTAATAACTAAAATATATAAAGGGCTCATACAACTCAACAGCAAAAAAAACCAAAGAACGCAATTTAAAAATGGGCAGAGGAACTGAAGAGACATTTTTCCAAAGAAGATGTACAGATGGCCCACAGACACGAGATGCTCAACATCACTCAGCATCAGGGAAATGCCAATCCAACCATAACCAGATATCACCCTACATTTGTCAGAATGGCCACTATCAAAAAGATAAGGACTAACAAGTGTTGGCGAGGATGTGGCCACAGACAACCCTCGTTCCCCGCTGGTGGGGATGGAATTAGTGCAGCCAGGATGGAAAAGAGTATGGAGGCTCCCTGAAAAATGAAGAATAGAACTACCATAGGATTTGGTAATTCTACTTCTGGGTACTTATCTGGGGGAAAAAAAAAAAAAGAACTTGAGAAGATGTATGTAACCCCCGGTTCACTGCCAACATTATTTACAATAGCTAAGACATGGAAGCAACCTAAGTGTCCATCAAGAGATGAACGGATAAAGATGTGTATCATATATAATATATCCTAACATATACACACATATAATATCATATGCATCATACCACATAATCATATATATAATCTGTGGAATCAAAAAACAAAAAAACAAAAACACAAGAGCCTCCTAGATACGGGGAACAGACTGGTGGTTGCCAGAGGCAGAGGTGGGGGACGAAATGGGTGAAGGGGGTCAAAAGGTACGCTGACTTACAAAACACGTTAGCTCAGAGGATGTCGTGTGCAGCACATGAGAGAACAGTTAAATACAGTACAGCATATTTGAAAGCCGCTCAGAGAGTAAATCTTCGACGTCCTTATTACAGGAAACAAACATTCTGTACCAGCGTATGGAAAACTACACTTATCGTGGTGGTTATTTCACAGTCTATACAAATACAGAATCATTCTGTTGTACACTTGAAACTAATACAATGTTGCATGCTATTCATACACACCTCACTGAAAAATGAAAGAGAAAAGGAAAGAAAATAAGGCAAGGACACGAAGAGACGTCTCACCTGAGGACACACAGGACAAATGGGCACAGGACACGATGTTCCACAGTGCTAACGGTCAGGAAAATACAATTAAGACCACAATAGCGTCACAATACACACCTGTCGGAATGGCTAAAAGAAAGTGACACCACTAAATAGCCGTGACAATGTGGAGAGACTAGATCACCTCACTGTGGGTGGGGTGTAAAATGGCGCCTCTTCTGGAAAACCAACACTAAACCTACAACTGCCATATGACCCAGCAAGCACATTCCCATGCGTTCATCCCGGAGAAATGAGAACTTACGTTCACAGAAAAACCTACACGTGAACATTTGTGGTAGCGTCACTCACAACAGCCCCAAATTGGGAAAACCCCAGATGTTGTTCATGCTCGAACAGCACCCACCCCAGGGAATACTGCTCAGCCACAGAAAGGAACCAACAGCTGATACATGCAACAACTGAGTTACGTCTCTAGAGAATTCCACTGCCCGAAAAGAAGCCAATCCAGAAAAGGTTACATAATGTGTGATTGTTTTTATAACATTGTCGAGATGACAAATTATGCAAACGGAAGACACCTGTGACTCCAGGGGTTAAGGGGGAGCAGGGGTGTGAAGGAAGCAGGGTGGCTATATTAGGGAAGGATCTTCGCTGGGATGGACAGTATCAATGTCAATATTCTGGCTGTGACATCGTGCTCCAGCTTTGCAAGATGCTACCACTGGGGGGATACTAGGTAAAGGGTACAAGAGGACTCTATTCTTTCTTATAGCTCTGTTTCAATCAATCATTATCTCAACAGTAAAAAGTTTCATTAAAGAAATCACTTGTATACACAGTCCATGCGAAGAGATCGAAGGAGAGCCGAAGAGACTTACCCGAAGCCCCACCCATCTATTGCACTCGTAAACACCACATTGCCCTGATCCGGAGAGAAGTAGAGGTGAGAATCATCCGTGTCCTCCAAGCCAGTGCTCCAGTCATACACTTGCTCTCCTGGGTCAGAATTTGGATTCACTTGGGATTCAGTCTCTCTCTCTGCTCTTTCTTCTAGGACTTTAGAAGTAAAAAGAGTTCCTGTGAGTGCATTAATCTAGGAGAGAGGGTAAAATGGCAGAGTGTCACTAGATGCTTAGCACACCTGTGGTGGGAGATGCGCTGTCTAGAACCATCAGTCAATTTGGGCTCCATGGATGGAGTTGATATTTACAACAATAATTAACCTGTTATCAACCCGTTCCTTCCAAACCCAGCAAGACTAAATTGTATGGCTTCTGTGAGGTCGTTTTATGACCCGAGGGAGTGGCATCCGCAACATGGGGCCTGGCGTCACTAGGAACTCATGACTCCACGATCCTAGTTCAGAGCCTGAGCCCGCTCCCTCACCAGTTCTCACACCTGGACTTGTCACCACTCTCCTCAGGCCCTTTTCCTTCCTGCCAATCCTTAGCTATTTCCCTCCCAAGTAAGTGACTTTATTTCCTACCACAGAGAGAAGATGGAACCTATTATTCAGAAATCCTGTAAGCTCCCGGGATTCCAACCGATCAGCCCGTGTCTGTCTGCAAAGACCGCTGGTCCCTCTCCTTCGGCCTCCCTGGTGCCCTTCCTTGTCTGATTCTGTAGGGAATTAGATCCATCCATTGATCCACGCTTTCTCGCTGCTCTACTTTGATCCCTTCCTCCCTTTGGCAAATAACTCTTCTCAACTGGTCTCATCAGTGGTACCCCACCGTTCTGAAGAAAGTCCAAACCTCCACGCGTGACACACAACGTTCCCCATAATGGAAACCCTATATTCCTTCCTACTCCCGCCTCCTGCTTCCCATGATCCCATTCTTCAGCAACAGCAAGTCACACGCAGCTCTTTGAATGAAACATCCTACTATGCTTTTTCCTGCGTTTACTTTGTATATCTTATTTCTTCTCTCCTAAACGCCCCGGCCATTAACTCCCGACCTTTTTCCATCTCAAGGCTTCTGTCCCATGACTCTTCCTAACTCTCCTCCCTCTGACCTGGTCTGGGTGAGGCAGCCCTCATTCACGTTTTCCAACCACACCCACACCTTCACGCTGCTCTCGAAAGATCTCTTTAAAGGTCTCCCCACCACACCTCAACATCTTTGAAGACAGGGACTCTGACCTGTCGGGACATTCACACTCCCCAGCACACAATGGACATCCCAGAATTCATTTATTCAACATATAGTTATGTAAATGTCTGCTGGGCAAATACATAAATGGTTGGGCAAAATGTCATCTCAAGGCAGGTCATAAAAAAACCAAGGAGCCTCCTAATATTGCTTCACTTTAGAACAAAGCTATAAGCTTTTTAGCAAGAGAGCTTCAAAACCTATTACCCAAGCTTTGTACTCGAGGGTGCTTCCGGGGGGTGGAGGGGACTCCTGAGGGGATGCCAGTCCCACTGTCTCTGCTGTAGTATGAGGACTCTAAGACACAGCAGTCCTAAGCCTAAAGACGCGAACTTCTGTGGCAACTTACCAGCTTCCTTACAACTCTTCTTGGAGTCCCAATTTTTAAAACACTGAAGTAAAGGATGAGATACCTGCTCTAAAATATTCTTGAGGTGAGAATAGGCTTCCTGCGGGGTGAATTTCAGTTCCACTATCAAACGATCTATCTTATTGATCACCAAAACTGGACGGATGTTTTCAAGCCAGGCTTGTCGCAGAACAGCCTGTGTCTGATGAAAACAGAAAGGCAAATGTAAAACTCACGATTTGAAATAAAGCACATGAGAAAATCCTGAATCGTAATCCGCTCATTTCCATTCTCTTGTATCACAACAGGTGCTCCCCAAACACTCACGAAGTCTACATCACAGAAGGAAAGAACAACAGACAAGAAACTGCCCTTGCCTTTATGGAACTGACGATTTAAGAAGGATAAATAAAATTGTGCAGAGTCTACTGAATAACGAGAAAACAAACAAATGCTCATGTTGCCAAAACACAGGCCAGAAAACCAGAGCATCCCCTGGAAGGCCCCACGTGCACCTTGCTGACCGCCCCCACAGCGTTAACCTCCGTTCTGCTCTTCTGGAGTCAGGTGTACTAACGAGACTTATCTTGTCAGGACAGAGACTAAGGCTGTGCTTCTTGGGCTGGGGGACCGACACCCTCAGGGGAAACCAGAGGGGATGTGACAGGACAGTTACGGCACTTCTTGGAATTATCAAATTCCGTCCATTTGAGTAATTTAAAGCTTTTCTCATTCTTTTTTAAAAATATTACAACAAACAAGGGTATGTTAAGAAGTGGGATACAAAGGTGACAACATTTTTCGAGATAAAACGTTAGGCCTCCAAACAAGTCCTTGTAAGAACCGAGCTTGGAGAACCACTCCAAGGTCCATGCCCAGCACATCACCCTGGTGAACTTTTCCACCTTTGGTGCAAAGGAGAAACACTAGCTGGAGGGCACAGAGGATAGAGAGAGAGAAGGAGTGGGGGGCGGGAGTGGATGTGTAGGTGGAAGCCAACAGAAGAGAATTTTCCGTAGGGATGAAATGGCTCAGTATCTTGCCATCAACCACTTCTCCCAGTTCAGAATCCTCCCCAAATTCAGCATCTCTCCAACTCTGGCCAAGTCCCTCTCTGAGAGGGCATCACAGATGCTTCCAGGTACTTAAAGTCATCCTCGCCAAGATCCCTTCTGGGCGCGGGTGACTTAATGCCATCACAGACTGGAACATTATGGAATGAAATGTAAAACCAACTTTCTGACTGTCAGTGAACCGTCTAAAATGGCACAGAGCCATCAGCGGCCAGTCCCTCCTGTTTTACCCGCCTCCTTTATTTGACCCGTTACGTATTTCCACATTACGACCTACTACCTGTGGACAGACTCCTTCCACGGCATCGACCACGATGATGCACCCGTCACAAATGCGGACAGCTGTGGAGACTTCCGAGGAGAAGTCCACGTGTCCTGGAGAGTCTATCAGATTAATCAGGTACTCCTCGTTATCTAAAATAGAATTTGAAAACACACATTTTCAGTTGTGCAGGTACACGATTTTCTCCCGGAGGCGTTCTAGAATAAGAAAGGTGCTAAGAAATGACTGAATAAAGCTAAAGAAGCCAAAAAAGCTCAATCAACAGCTGTCGTTCCAACTTAGGAATTCCCACTGATGGAACTATTGATTCCAAGGAGCATCTATAGAAAACATTGAGGACTTTATTATTCCCAAAGTTACCACTTCCTAAGAGCTTAGTGTGAGCCAGGCACTGGGCTAAACACTTTTCATTGTGCTAATCACACATGTCTTCCTGAATCCTTACAGTATCCCTGCAAGATAAATGTTACTATTTCACTCCACAGATTCCAAGTGGAGACTAAAAGAAACCAATGCCAGGGCATAAAAGCTGTTCAAAGGGGGCCAAAACGGGAAATGCCAATTTAAAAAGACACAAAGCACTTGTCCACTGCTCCCCTTCAAGCTCTCGGAGAGCGGGCTGTGAACCTGAGATTTAGATTCAATTCTCCAAAAATTTAAGGAGGAGTTACTATGTGCCAAGCAAGGTGCTTTGTGCTCACACACAGACTGTACCTCCTTTTAGCCTCCTGACAAACAGGAGTATTGAGGTTTTAGTAGGATGATAACTCATGCAGACTTGTCCCAAGCACTGAAAGCCCCACATCCCATCAAACCCCAAAGTCGGTCCCACATCCCATTAACTCCTAGGTCAGTCCCAGACGAGCCAGAACAATGAGCCACCCTAGGTTACAAAGACTTCACGCTGGAACATAATGAAAGAAACCATGCAGAAGAATTGTAATTCATTAGATGTCTACGCTCATTCCCCATTTGCTAAACCTGAGAGAGAGCAAGCGAGCAGAGCAAACAAGAACACAAGTAGGGGGAGAGGGGCAGAGGCAGAGGCAGAAGCAGGCTTCCCGCCGAGCAGGGAGCCCGATTCGGGGCTCGATCCCAGGACCCTGGGATCATGACCTGAGTTGAAGGCAGGCGCTTAACTGCCTGAGCCACCCGGGCGTCCCCACAGTTCTCTTTTAAAGGCAAAGCAACCACTGAACATGCTCAGGCTCCCCCACATACTTTACTTCTGCTCTTCCTCCTAACTGTTTTTCTACTTCCGTGTGCTGCAGAGCTACTCCAGGGCCCGAGGGCTGGATAGTACACGTTGCAGGCCCTTTAGAGAATCTGCCCCAGTGCCCTGAACCAGCTGACAACTTGCCTCACTCCCTAGCTGACAGTGACACTGAGCAAGCACCACGTTTGTGGACTCCGCCTGGCACCGCCGTGCTAAGCATTTTGCAGACACTGGGTCGTGTTTACTAGCAACCACCCTTTGCAGTTGTTAGTACCATGAGCACAATTTCACAGAGCAGAAACACTAGGGCACAGAAAAGTTAAATATCTTCCTTGAGGACATCTAAGCGGAACCCGACTCCAACGTAAACTGCCTAAGATCAAACAATTCAAAACGGTAGAGTAGAAGTTCAAACCCATCTAACTCCAAAGACATACCTTTGACCACACCACTCAAGATGGCATCAAGTTCATCCCATGTGCTGAGAGTCCACTGGGGGTGAATTTCTAAACACTAGGTTAAGGATTCCAAAGTGCACCAGAGCTCAGTGGGAGAGAGTGCCACCAGTGAGCGATGGGCTGCTTCTTAGACACCACCAACCTGTCCCAGGTCTTCTAGTGCAGGGTGCGTTACAAGGAATCCTGGCTCTGCTGCACCCACCGGGGAAGGCTCCAACCAGACAGAGGACTGTGGACATCTCCAAAGAAAACCAAAGACATCAAAGGCCCAGGGCCCTGGGACAGTGGCCCCTGGGCCTCAGTGGAGCTTTTTATTGTCAGGGCTCACAGCACCCTTTGGGAGAAGCCCAAGCTCTCTACCAAATAAGGCAAAGGAAAATGAGCAGCACTAGCAGGGGTCTAAGGTCCTATCAGCTCCCATCACGTAAAACAGAAGCTGTGAGATTCCTAAAATCTCTCCACATTTTCCTAGCCTAACCCTTCACTTCATAGATAAACATGCCCCCAAAGGGAAGAGATGTGTGCAATGTCACACAAGGAGGAGCCAGCCAGAACACACCCAGGTCGGTCTAATGACCTTAGCCACTTCCTATAGAGGTCTTAGATTCCTTTATACTTTGCAGCTGGGGAAACAACACTTGCTCGCTCATTTGGATGAAGTCCAGACTCTAGTGTGGGAGAGCTGTAAGCGCTCTCCCACCCTGCCTGACAACAGCCGGGCCTGAGACAGAACTTCCAGAGCCTGTGTCTGCTGTCAGGTCCCTTACAGAATTTAAAAATGCATCCACAGAGAAACTTCGGGCTTCCTACATAAGAGTGCTCTTGCCTTTTATTGGGGTTACAGACCTTTTAGGTGACGCTCAGAAAAACAAACACATCTACCTACCGATCCACCTATCCATCTATCCACCTGTCCATCTACCCTCCCCTAATTATGCATCCAATTCCAGACCCCTTGAAATTTATTCAAGGACAGCAAGTTCAGATCCCAAAAACAGAAAGCTAGTGATATACCAAGTGTTTTCACCTGCAAATAGGCAACATAAAAAATAAGAGTGTGTGACCAAAAACCTTTGGGAAATGCGGGGCGGGGGGGGGGGGGGGTTCGGGGTGAGGAAGAGGCTCACAACACACGTATGTACTAAAGGCTCAGAGAAGCTCTGTAATAAAGAAGCCTGACTTCCCAAATGTACCTGACGAGAGAAAGGCTTCGGTCCGTGGTCACCCACACAGCTGAGAAGCACAGAGCTCAGCACACAGCAGGTCTCTGACTTTCAATGACTTTTTTTATCTTCACTCTTTCCAAGTAACTTCAAACTAAATTTCAAAGGTAAGGAAAAGAAGTCCAATATCCATCAGAGAAAAAAAAAAAAAAAACAGCCGTAAACCCAACTCTTCTGCTGTCTTCAGCTACGCTGTGCCTCTTTAAGACTTGTGTCCCTGAATGCCATCTACCACCGTTTGTGTGTGTGGAGCATCAAACACACACACACAAATAAAAACAAAATAAAACAAAACAAAAACGGGTGTGGGGTTGATCACGTTAGATATTATGACTCCTGCTAAAGGAAATTTCAACTTCTAGGCATGCTAAATGACTTTTCTGATTTGCCACACGGTCCTAAAGGTGCATATGGACCGACTCCTGCTGGCGCATTAAGCCATACTTCCCAGGCATTCCAAAACACACCTCTTCATTTCAGGGACTGCTCTAATCCGCAGAGCGCCAATCCATTTTTTTTTTTCATGTTCCAGGAGACTGGGGAAAAGAAAAAGCTGGAAGCCCTGAAGTTAATCGTGGCAGGTATCTTGCAGACAGTTTCTGCTCAAGGGCGTTATGGGAAAATCGTCCCTCCCATGCCCGTGAGTCCTCCAGGCTTAGGGTGCCACGGGTAATTGCCTCATGGAAGGTGCATATCTGTCACCAGTGCCTGCCAAAGGTCTCCTCTGTGAAGAGGAAAACTTCACAAGGTCATGTGCAATTTCTGAAACACGGAGGACGCTCGCTAGCGCGCACACACTGAAAGCCGACAGGAGACAACGTGCCTTCAAACAAAGGGAGATGTCCATCCACTCATGGCCGAAGATCCGCACTTCATGCAAGTGTCTCTTCTGTTCTGGCGTGTTAGGAGAACACTAAATCTCACGACAACGGTATCAGGAACACGGACAAAACCCAAGCCACGTGAGAACACGTTCCCTGGCACATTACTTACAGAACATGCAACACTTACGGACAAAAGTTAGGCCCCAACTAAATGGTAACCACAGGAGTTTCCACAGGAAGTTTCCACAGGAAATACCACTACTATCCCTTTCTATTTTAAAGTAGTATATAAGATTATAGTAAATCAACTGATATGGTTCATTATTTCAGGGACCTGAAATAATGATGCATTTTATCTCGTATTTGCCGACACAGGTAACAGGTCTCTGCAGGGGAACCGAGTGGGTCTTCGGGAGAAGGCTGTTACAAGAAGAGGTCGTGGGTGGTTGATCCTGATGGTATGAATGTCAGAAGTGAGGTGGTTTAGGGAGGAGTGAGACAATGACCTACAAACAACTATGAATGACAAACAAATGAAGTTTTCTTGTCGCATGGCCCCATCCCGAAGTCCTCTCCAGACCCTCCCCCCGACATGAAACAAAGGAGACCACATGTGGGCCACCTCTGACTACGGGTGACCTCACCGGCTTGTGGTTTTTCTCGGCGTGCCCATCCGTGCCAGCCACTCGGTACTGGGGCCGCACCCTGAACTCGGACATCATTAGGAACCTCGCCACCTTTGAAATGCTGCTGCGTGGGTAGGAAATCTAGCAATTACATGACTACACTGTCTTGACCTTTCTACTTACTGGCATTTTTGCCTGTAAGGATAAAATAAGAACCAGAATAAAGAAGCCTTGTGTAAAAAAAAAAAAAGGGTTGATGTTCATCTCTTGGAACCTACGTCAGGGTTCCAAACCTTGGCAACCTGCTTAGAACCGGTGTTTACTTCAACCTGGAGGGAAAGTCAGAGACCAAGGGCTATCTTTCACTCAATTTCACACGGGTCGTACGTGTCACTACTGTAAGCTGCTGCAAGACTGAAAGCAGCACGCCCCCGACCAAGACGGGGCTAGGGGAACGTGGGGCGGGAAGGATGAATGAGCATCTGTTTTCAAGATGAGACAGACTGGAGTGAGCATCCTTAAAAGCTAATGGTCAAGTTGTCAGTGAAGATACAGGAGAGAAGAAACTCAGCAGGAGCCAAGTCCCGAGCACACGTCTGTCAGTAGCCCTGAGGACCAGCCAAGACCCCAGCCCGGGAGAAGAAGGAAGAAGTGTAGCGCTAGCTCTGTCCGTGGTTACAGTTCTGCTCGGAGAAATGACAGAAGGCAAAGAAACTGAGGCCCTTGGAGGGACTGGCAGTGAGATGACCGATCTGGGCTGTCAGAGACGGGCAGTGAATGGAGG